CTACCATGATCTACAAAACTGTTAAATGAAAGATTTTAGCTGTAGAGAAAAGGAAAATTTTCTTTGAAGCTTCCAGAATTTTGGCCAATTTGGCTTCCATGAACTTTTTATGCCAATTCTTTTGTACTCATTGTTTAGCCAGTTCTCTTTTTGCCCAGCTACAGCCTAGCGGTGAATTGGCTGTCTTCAATCCCATCTTTTATGCCTTTCTGGTGGCAAAAAGAGTTGAGTTGTATGACTTTAAAACTTGGATGCTAGAGAACGTAACGTAGCTCCGTAGGGCTGTCAATGGATCGGGTCTACCTAATAAATCCAAATCATCCGAATTGTATTTATTGGTTTTGGTTGTATGATTCATTCCGATGGGTCGGTTCTGGTTTTATTTCATGTGTCTTGATTAATATCGATTCGGGATCAGTTTTGACTGCCCTAAACCGATTAGACCTGAACCGATTATATATACATGTTTTAGAGTTATAGGTATGCCTAAAAATGTAATTTTATTTTTAATACCTAAAAGCCTCGAGCTCAAATCCTTTGGGCCACCCTTTTGTTTTGCTTTTGCCGTTTAAGGCTTTAACTTCTAAAGTTCTACTCGTCACTTTATTTTTCTCTAAGAAAGTTTCTCATCCCCGTCTCTACGTCTCACTGATTCTCAGTCACTGTCTCCTTAGTTTAGTTTCTCAGTCACCTCTGCTTTAGCTTCTAATCGGACTTCGATACTTCAGATTGGCATGACGGCATGATGGCACTTGAAATTTACTTCAGACCTTCTGTAGACTGTAGATTTGTTCTTCCTTAACTCATCACTTTTTCAGTTCGAAAAAGGTGAAGTTTTGGTCCTTGGCATCTAATTTTTGTTTCATTTTCTCTAATTATTTTTTGTTTTTTGGTAAATAATAGATGGGTGTATTTCAATATTTGGCAAAGAATAATTTATTTACATAATAAATATACAATTAGTGGTGGTGGGTGGTGGGATTTGAAGGGATGGGAAATCCATCGTATGGACGCCCGGATCTTGCGGAATAGAATGGACGAATTTTAAAAATTTCTCTCATTCCCACTAGGAATCACATTCCATATTTTAGAAAAATCACATTTTTCAATGATCTATCTTGAATCAAGAACCGAACCAAATCTGAACCAAAAGCACTAGGAGAGGGGTATACCTGATACGGAGAAAAAATGTCTCCCAACGAAGGTGTTCATGCCCAAGGAATGATCCAAAGACTGCTCCCACTGAAGATGGCGCAGTGCAGGATGGAGCAGAATCAGTAGTGTTCTTCCCAAGAACCTAATCCTTCACAAGAATTAGCAGGACGGCACGTGAGCACAGCTTCCTATCAGTCCCTTCACAAGAAAACTGATATCAAGATCCAATCATGATTTCTCCCACTGAACTGGAGATCGAACTGGCAGGTACGGCGACGCCAGGAAGGAGGCGGCAAGAGAGAATTTTCGCAGGGTTGCTGAATTCTCTCTTCTGTGATTTCAGCTCTGAAGAGGATGTGAAAAATTGTTTGTTTCTAAAAGCTACCGTCCCCTCCTCCTTTTATAGGCTTAAAGGGATCAACTCCTAATCCCGTTAGGAGTTGTTGATCCAAATCATATTTGGATCAAAAGTCCATCTAAGTACATGTGCTCACTTTTAACTGATCCCATTAGGAGTTGCTAATCTCAGAATTCACCCCCTCTTTTAACTGATCAAATCAGCCCAGTTCAAAATGGGCTTTAGGCCCATTAAGGACATGTGCTCACTTAGCCTTCCAATGCACCCCTTGAAGCCCATCACATGGGCTCCTAATGGGCCCAACACTTACCCTAAGTGGTCCCTAGGCCAAGCCACCTTGTAACACCCAGGGACTGTGGGCAGATGCAAGATTAGTCCATCAGGTATTA